TCGTCATTTCCATTTGCATTCATCAATCATTGGGCTCGAAAGAACTGGCTGGTAAGTGAAAACTGTATAACTGGCACTAAAGCCACTTGGTGGGTAGGTTGCCGCAACACTCTAGTTTATCAAACAACAAAAGAAAGCAGTGTGGGTGCTTGCCACACAACGCGGCACGAAATTCCCAGAGGTGTGTTGCCATTACGTGAAAATCACGACGTAATATTTTCGCACATATCAGGGGCGATATGTCTCTGTTTAGTATAGCAATCATGGGCAATGCATGTGTGACGCATCTATTGACAAAGAGCAAATGATGTAAAGTAATGTCGTGCCTTCCATAATGCTTGGACTTGAAAAAAGTAGCATTTAGCCAATGAGTACTGTGGTACTCTAAAGATTTCCTTGAGTATGGATTTGTATTGCTCAAATAATGGAGGTGAATACGCCAGGAAATCTTTAGATTTTTCATAATATAGCAGTAGGGGATAGTCCGAAAAGATTCTTGGTACACTGCAGTATACATAATTATAATATACCATGCACATCATAGGCCGCGTCATGTTCCTGCTGTTGGAGCTGTTTGTGCTGGTACCACTGTGGTTGTCGTAGCTGAACATGATGATGCTGCTGCTGCTGTTGCTAATGAGGAGATTTGGGTTGATTATGTGACGATAGGTGCTGCAAATGGTTGTTGTCAGGGGTTGGTGCTACAGCTAGTTGTGCTATTACGACGGGTTATTTTGCAGCAACAAATTGTGGGGCTTTGAAGGGTTGTGCAGATTTGCTGCAAGGTTTGTGCTGGTGCTTGAGGTGCGCTCACGCTGCACATACTCCCCCCCCCCCCCCCCCCCCCCCCACTGAGGCCGCAATCAGGATTTGTAACGTAACTGTGACGTTCAGTTCATGTGTGTGCTGTTGCCATTCAACTTACCCGCTTTTGCGCATGGCCACCGGTTTTGGTCGCAATATGAGCATGCCCTCAGTGGGTTGTACTCAGTGCTGCTGCTGCGATTGTTGCTGCTGCTGCCACTGGCATTACCGCTACCGCTGGTGTTGCTTTTTTTAGCATTGTTGCTGCTGTCGCTCCTCCTGGGACCCGTGTTGCTGCTGTGATCGTTATTGAGTCTGTACACTTGCCGTTGCAGTCTTGAATCTGGATCACTTTATCAATGGTCCTTGTGCACGTTGTACAGATGTACGAATTCCCGTAGTTGTTTGTATTCCTGCTTGGGTGTTCGTTGTGTGCCATACATGCACATTTGACCAATTTAGACCAATAATCATGGGAAGACAATCGCTTTTCCAGCTTCATCACTTTGGATAGAGCTCAAGACTAGCTAGATCTTCTTTGGAAAAATGGTTCCGTATGAAATGCCTTCAGGGCACGTTTCATAAAGCAAAGAGCAGTGAACACGTTTTCCTGTACATTCAACACCCAACACAGTCTACAGGATTCTACAAGATTCTATGAAATTTCTTGCATCTGTACAGCATTACTTGTTGAGTACAGAAACCCATGACTAGGCATTACATGAGTTGAAAATGTTGCCGCGGTACATGTATTTGTCGCGATGTCTACGTGTGGTATATCGGTCCTGTGGAAACCACGAAGGTGTCTTCACAGTTGATTCTTTACCACTGCGTGTTATTGTGTGTGTCATCTACAGATGTCATGGAGAACGTGTGCAGCATACCTTTCTGAACCCCGACAGACATGTGTCGGTCAACCATTGACATTATAGCAATGTATGCATGGCAGCAATGTTTATCAGCTCAGCCGAATGTCTATATGTTTCCACCACGTCGATCAGGAAGGTGTGTACATGCTTGATTCTGCATGTAACTGTGTGGCTTGGCCTCTAGCACTGTATACTATTGTGTATATTCTGCTTCAAACATTCACCACAGTGACTTCCAGAGGTTAAGACAATTTGATAGCAGTTCGAATGGCATATCTCTCGCTTGCATACGATAAGCCAAACTTGCCAAATCGCCAATTCTTTGCTCACGTTGCCATACCACGTCAATCACATACATGTATCATACATTACATTGGGCTCTTTCGATTACACATTCTCGACCCAGGTTTTATAATTCTTGAATGACCAGAATGAACGGATTGCGGCTATGTAAACAAACTACACGTAGAAATCGTAAAGGGGGATCACGTGGGATCCCGTACACCCTCGCCCGCAAGTGTACCTAGCATGGCGTGTACGTCGAGTGTGTAATTTCTGAATTCTAGAAACGACGAGATTTTGTGTAATAGGACGCGCCCATTGTAGATACTTCTTACCTTAGTTGGTGCCATTCTGGAGTTGTTGCTTTTTTGTGTTGCTGTGTGCAGGGTGTCTGGTTCTTGCCTCTGCCGCAGAAGATTCCATCGCTGCTCCAGGATTGAGTTGTAGAGGAACTGCAGCATGTCCGACCCATTTCGGTGAAGCACGATGCCGTGATTGATCAGTGATGGTGATGATGGCATGTACCTGGTGGTCTGTGCTGGCTGGTGCACGCTACCCTATCCACAAGTTGCCTGTCAGGATGTGCAGCTAGGCATTGTAACATGTGCTGCAATACCAACCTTCTGGTGTCACCTCTATCTGGAAGTTGACTTGCAGATACTACTGTATCGGAGAACAAGTTTGGCGAGTCCCGCCGTGGCTGTTTTGTGATCGCTGTTGACGCATTCCACATGCTAGTCTATCATGTAGCTACTAAGAATTAGCATGGCGCTTTGGCATTTGGGATACGTGGCAGTGCATGTCACCCTCACAGTCGTCAGCACTGCACAGTGGCTTCGCCGGTTGGCCGGCTACTCTTCGCTGCCGGCCATTTCGCTATACCGTTATCAGGCTTTATGCGAGGCCAGCTTATACATACATTATGCTGTTGACGGCTTTCTGGCTTCGCAGTCTTGTACAGTTTGTGGATGCGTAAACTGGTATGGCTCTTCACATATTGCGCGTTCCGGGCCACATTGCTGACATTGCCGCATGTTCGTCCCATTTCTATTATCCAAATAAGTGTTTATTTTCATTCCTTGTTATGGTGGTATCATGGTGGTATAGTTTCCAGCCTCCACCCACTGTTTCTGATTTCGGCTGTGTTGCAGTAGCTCGCCAGTATGATAATCATTATGACTATATGACGCGAATTTCAAATAAAATATGACTGCTGAAAACCTGGCGAGAACAGACTAACTCGATAAATGGCACTAAAAAGAATCCTCTCACCGATACATCTAAGCAATATCTGTGCACACATGCAAAAAGAATTGCAATCGGTTAGTGCCAAACAATGCGGCACGAAATCTGCGGAGGGACGTTTTGAATCCAAGAATATATTTACCATCCAGAAAGCCGACGAGGACGACACTGTTTCTCATCTGTGGCCGTCGCGAAAAGATCTCAGGGGAGTGTGTATCCGTAGGATTGTGTAGAGCGCAAAGAATCGAAGCGAAGTGGAGTATTCTCGGTGCGGTGGCTGTCTTTGTTTTCGTCGGCATTTTGTTGTCTTGAGAATTTTCCTCCACGAAGGGCTTCAAATTTCCCGCGACTGCAAATAAAAGTGCAACTTTTAGACGGCTTTTTTGAATCTGGCGATCCTACTGTATATCCATGCTCTATGCTCTGTACAGTCAGACACAATGACGTATACCATGGTACTAATACACGTGTCTAAGGCCATCTGAGGGCATCGGACCCCAGGAGTAGCAAAGGTTCAGCGAAACCCTCAACGAAGTCCATTCACGGTCCGGGTGAGCTCTGTTTTCCAACTCTCTTCAAGGTGAAGCACCGAAATCCAGGACTGGAATGGAAAAGGCTGTCAAAGTAATGATGACATTAAGAATAGTATTGTTGTATACTACATGAGTCATGACATTGTTTTATAATACTTTTAAATAGCTATATATAAAGAGAACACATTCTGCTGTCATCGCCACACTATAACAAAGTCATGAAGGTTTACCAAAATCGATTTTCTCGTCACAATCATCAGTGGAAAGCCGTGACTGAAGAATAATGTCGTCTTTGAGGAATACTCTTTCTATTGCTAATGAGTGATATGCACGGGCTTTGTGCACCCGAATCTGGATGGAAGTAGGGCATACTCCATTTTCCTTACAGCGCTTCAAGAAGATAATATCATGTGAAATGTTTCTAGCCACATGATGACAGCAGAATTTGTTCTCTAGACTATAGCTATTATAATTGTTGTCTCCGCGTCGATTATTTACGTACTACTACATGTCGTAGTACTTTATTTGTAGTGGAAATAAAAACAGGCATAATGCCTAACAATGAGCGCGCCCACTAGTGCACTGTGAATAAAAATTTAAAGGATATCGTGGAAAAGTAGAGATAGGAAAAAGAAAGAAAAGAAAACGGAAGGTTGGAACAGATATCAATCCAGTGAGTATTACCGGTATACAAAGGACAACTAATTAATAGTAATACTTATTGCGCTGAAACGTGAAATAGGGCGAAATTACAATATTTACGCTATCACCGGTACATGTACATATATATGAGTGGCCGGTTTTGAAAGTGATCCCCGATTTTAAAAGTTGTATGATTGTGTTCCCGAGCAAACGTTGGGCACAGCCATCATGGCCATGGGCATGGGGCCCTGAGCCTGAGGTGGAACAATGCATGCTAGGCTCTCCCAAAGCCACTAACTAACCCTTACTTGTGACTAAGTATTTCAAGGCCCCGAGCTGCCATGGGTCATTATTCATAATCAGTAGCAACTACTTGTTGAAGTCTACCAATCGAACTCAAGACGAGTCAAAACACACATCAAATGCAGCGGTCATTGCTTGTTCAAGTGCAATTTTTGTGCTCGTAGAATCCACGCATCTACAATGTATACTCAATCTCCATCTACAATGCAATGACAGTGTACTGTTAGTGTGTAGAACTACAAACAGAAACGATCACCGCCCGGGCCGTAGATTCTACGCCGTGTGTTGAATGCACTGCGATAGCAGCTGAAGCGATATGACTGTCTGCTTTGATGCGTCGTGCAGCCACGTCGCGCCGCAGTAGCTGTTATGTACGCAGCTCTACGGTAGAATCTCCGTACCCCATGCATGCAGTTATTGACGGGATGCAGGTGAGCACGAGCTCGCGAGGCCGCGATCCGACCCTAGCCTAGCCTAGCCTGCAAGGAGAATGGCGTCCCCAGCATCGGGAAAGCGCTCGACTTCAAGTCCCCTTCCAATAAAGAAAGGACGATCGTACTCTATTGAGGGAGCTGCCAATGGAGCAATCACCTCTCCAGCGGCAGCAAAAGACCTTACCGGCGGTCATGCTGTAAGTTGAAGTGTTCATGTGATGCTTCAGTAAACTTCACAGCTGAGAACAATGGACAAATTCTAGTTGTTGTTTTTTCAACCCCGTAGTCGTCGTCGTTCAAGTCTGCGCCACTATCGAAGATGGGTTCCAGAAAGAGAGTAACATCAATGTCGTCCTCTCTTTCCGAGAGCTACTCCTCAAGTAAGATGTCAGACATTGCCGTATTTTGGTGCCTGACCCATGTAGTATCCTGTACAGGAATGCTTGAGCTTAGTCGATGTTGCTTTTCTGTTTCCAGCATCCGGGAGTAGCTACTCATCCAGCTCGGACGAAGATTTGTCCCCCAGAGAAAATATCGTGGTATGTTTGAATTCTGAAATGTGCATGAGTTCTGTTTTTGACAGATTTGAGAATGATTTTCTTTCCGTTGTTTTTTTGCCTCAGCTGCGAAAGAGAGAGAATGACAAAGTCAAAGATGCATTGTTCGAAATGTGAATGTCTAGGTTTGTGATTGCATTGGAGTATGGGGCTTGGAAGTCGAATAATTAATTTTCTCTGACTTATTGTTGTTCTGAAACGTTATTCTGCCCGAGTCGTTGCTCCGTTGTAGCATCCATTCATGTTATTACAGTCGTCCCTCTCTAATCCGGCACTTTATAATCCAGCACCCTCGATAAACCGGCACAATTTTCAGTAGCCAAATGTCCTCTTCATGCACATTGCAGCAGTAGATCAGATTTGTTAATCCAGCACCCTCCCTAATCCAGCAGATTTTCGTGGCACAAATGGTGCCGGATTATAGAGGGACCACTGTACATAGATTTATGCACAGTTTTGCATGATTGTACATGCACGGTTAGGGCCTGGTCAGACTGCGGCAAAATCGAAATAATCCTAGGATTATAATCCGAATCTCCATAGTAACTTGCCGCCAGAGCGGCAAAAGCGAGAGTTGACGCTCCAAAAAAAAAGCAAGAACGGGCCACGCTTTTCCGCTCCAAACAGGATTTGACGCTGATACGCCATTGACGCTGATAATCACTGATTTTTTCATCTCGATATCGAGGAGCTAATTGGCCACGGACAACAACAAAACTCATAAGGATGGTTGCAAGGATTGCACTGAAGGTGTTGGCGATCCCCAAGGTGAAGGAATTTGACGTCGTTCGTGGAGATTACCACTTGACGCTCGAAATGAAGTTTGAATTTTCACTCTCCCCACATGTGTAGTGTGATCGCGATTCAAATTCTGGACGCTGTTCCTTTTTCGTCAGGCAACCAAAATTTGCCGCAGTCTGACCAGGCCCTAACTAGTATTTTAGGCTTGTTGTGTCTAGGAGCAGGACAGGGAGAAGTGGCATGTACACGTGCTCAAGCACAACAAAATTATCCCCCTCGTAATCTGCGCTCCTGGTTGGTACATGGTGCAGTATGGAGTGTGCAGTGATGAACACTGTAGTACTATTGTACAAGTAATAATTATGCAGTACAGGATCTGGTCCAGAGCTGGCCATACTTCACTGATTTAGTGATTAGGGAGGTTCCGGAGTACGATTTTTCGTGCCAAAATCCGTGGAGGCGCTACGGATTTTTTATACGTCGTTTTCGGGCAGTGAAAAGTTCCGGGGTACGGAACTTATGTGTTTGCCGTCATTGCCTAGGTTACGATCGCAAACACGTCACATTCCCGCGCTATGCCTTTTTATTTTGAAAATTTGTACCGAAATCAAAACTTCCCGCGGAAAATCCATGTTTCTCGTACCAAATTTGTACGCGAAAAATCTTTCTGCACCCGATGACGCAAAATCTCCATACGAAACATGGTTCGTGTGAAAGCCAGTCCACACGGATTCTCCGTGCCGAAAAATCGTGTGGAGCACGCCTGGAAAAAATCCGTAGCGCCCATACGGATTTTGGCACGGAAAATCGTACCCCGGAACCTCTCTATTGGCAACTCAATAGGGCAGTACAGGATCTGGACTTGTCCTGAGCCATACTTTACTGATTTAGTAATTAGCAACTCAATAGGTGCCACTTCTAGCTCAGCCTCCCGTCATTTAGCTTGATTTCATTCCCAGTCCATTGGCTTGTGCTTCCTACAGGCCAACACGAAAGGATTTTCAGACTTCCGGGTGAAGAGTCTGTCACTGGCTGACTATGGCCGGAAGGAGATTGAGATTGCTGAGCAAGGTTGGTACTTACGGAATTGCGCTCCATGTTACCTCTCCATGCTATCAGATACACAAATGAGTGAGGTGTGCAGGAAGCATGCTATGCTACAGCAAGCTTTGCCCTTGCTCATACAGTAGAAAAGAGAGAAAGTTGTTGTTGGTGACTTTTATTTTACTTCACCAATTGCACAGGCATGTCTGTTGCTACTCAGAATTTCATGCTTTTGCGATCACCAACTTGCGTGGTGATTGCACAAACATAAAACTCTCTGTACATGTACATGTAGCTACTCACTCCCCAATCTAGGTCTCTCGTCTCTGCTGCAGAATACTGCCCCCACCCCCCTGACCTTGTCGACGTAGAAACTTCAGAGGTGACGATTGAAAGTCACTGCAGGGTTCGCACTTGTGCTCATCTGGCATAAAAGGCATGGTGCAGCATATGTCCACACGAATATGACGTGCGTACAACAAGGATTTCTGCCCGCCAAACACGTACGAACGTTTTGTGTGGTAGAAACCTGTGGGATCCAGTCAACCCTACTACATATCATGTCCGCCTCGCTAATTCTGCTTACCTGGTATTGCCATAATAAAGATCTTGTCTCCACGCCGCCTATTCCCATGGCAGAGTTGGTCAGATCCACATCCAGTGAATGTGGATCCGCACTCGACTCATCGATTATTGCAGATCTATTCTGTTTAGCACAACTTAGTGCATGGATGTGTCATTCACGCAGTTGGATGTTTGTTTGTTTTTCTTTTCTTCTTTTTTCTACTGCAGAAATGGGAGCCCTCATGTTACTTCGGCGGCGTGCACATGAAGAACGGAGGCTGGTGGGAGCACGTATCGCTGGCTGCACGCACATAACGGCACAAGCCGCTGTTCTCATCGAAACTCTCGTCGCCTGCGGTGCAGAAGTGCGGTGGTGCGCCTGCAATATCCATTCCACGCAGAACGAGGTTGCTGCCGCTTTGGCAGAAGCAGGTGAGGGATTCAATTGCTGATTTTGCCGCTCCGCTCGATTTGTTTAGCTTACTGGTTTCTTACCTGTAGGTGAGGCCCTGACCGACTGGACTTGTCATCATGCAGTGGACTTTTTCTTTATTGGTTTTGTCTTGGCAGCTCTGTTGACCATTGGTTTCTGGTATGCAACTACATGCATCATAATGGTCTTTGACAGCTTGTGGCAAAGTGGTGCTTCTTTCTTAGCCCCCCCCCCTGTTCCAGAGCTGGGTCTGAACTGGCGGGGATATCCTCGTTCCCAAATAACGGTTCATGTGGTTGCATAGACCGGGACCCTACCAACCGTAAACAAGGTTAAAGACCCTCTTCCACCTTGCCACACGCTGTCTATACCATTACAAAATTAACTACTACCTCCGACAAGCGAAACTTGGCGCGTTTTTTACTTCAAATTACACTAAATAACTCACACTTTACAATCAAGTCTTATGATTGACTCACCAAAATACAACTTTGTATTGCTCAACAAGGACATTAGAGACATCAGTTAGGCTGAATCACTGTCCTCTGATTCAGATATCGCAGTTTCTTCTAGAGAGGAATTGTCCCTGTTTTGAGACGAAAGAGCGACTAGAGCGGATTCAGTTGCAGCAAGTATCTCTGTTGTGATCGCTCTGGAAATCTCGATGTCGCTCCTGTGCTCGAGCCACGGTGTCGAGGGTCGTCATTTCCACCGCCACTATCTAGGTTGACGTGGTAAGAACTGTGCAACACCTCCACACGCGCCTGGACTGCAACATGTTTTCCGGGTATTCTCGCCAACTGTCCAAACTTGCAGGCAGCAATTCCTGGCGCTTTTCCTTAGCCACCAGAGACGGCTCTGAAGGCTATTGAAAGGCGCTAGGATTTGGCATGGACGTATGGACTCTGTGCTGGCTGAGTGATCAAGTGAAGAGAGAGAACTCTTTGGTTTTGCATTGAAACGCGAAATCACGACGATTCTTCTTCGCAGAATAGACGCGCGGCGCGCGCGCACTGTGTTGCTGGTGCACGAGAGACTGGCCTGCTTCTGACTAGTCAAGCCATGTGCCACTCACCAGCTCGTCGCTTGGCTTCCTGCACCCGGTTGCATGGAGGGTACAAGTAGGTCGCGTACCTCACTGCCTTGTCAAGTAACTTGTGGTACCAACACAAATAAAAATCAAATAAAAGCGCCAAGTTTCGCTTGTCGGAGGTAGTAATTTTATGTGTATCATGTTTACACACCAGGTTCAGTGGAGAAAACCCCTACATCTAGCGCTGTTTTCCACCATGTATCATGTTTATAACATAACTACAGTACTGTCGGTCGTCGAAGAACTGGGGATCAGCCTTGTAGCCTTGACCGTTCTTCTTTTCATGTACTATGCACAGTTAAGTCACCGTGGCGTGTATACATTGGTATGCTATGCTTGGTGAAGTTCTAGCGGGGTTGTTCTTCGGCGCCCGATAGTAATTTGTATCCATTGCTGTGGCCCGTCCTTAGGTATGCATATGGGTGGCGTAGCTGCGCCTCTCGCACGTATCACTCAGCCTTTTCCCTGCGTGTATGCTGTTCTTTTCTTCTCCTACTGATAGGATATCCGGTCTTTGCATGGCGGGGTGAAAGTGAAGAGGATTTCTGGTGGTGCATTGAGCAGTGTGTCCACACAGACAACTGGCAGCCCAACTTGGTAGGTCTTGAAACAAGATACACAAGCATGTATCCGCCCTGTTTGGTCTCTTTTCTACACTGTGCCTGTTTGTATGGTTTCTGTGTCTTGCTTGCTATGTACTTCAAGCGGGGTTTAGCCAGCATGCCTGCGCCATGCTTGCTATGTACTTCTAGTGGGGTTTAACCAGCATGCCTGCACCATACTTGCTATGTACTTCTAGTGGGGTTTAACCAGCATGCCTGCACCATGGTATTGTTGTATACTCAGTACGATTGTCTGTCATATTTTATTTTGACTGTTGCTCATGTGTAGCTGTTGGACGATGGTGGAGATGCAACACATCTAATGCACAAGAAGTATGAAGGCTCCTTCAAGCTTCTCCGTGGTGTTGTCGAGGAGAGCGTTACTGGAGTCCATCGGTATGTCAGTGGCGCACGATCGATACTGTACATGAAAGTAGTTCTTTCATTATATAATTATGTGTGTGTGTGCACGTGTGTGTGTGCTCTGTGCTCTGTGCTGCCGGCCTTGTTGCCGTTGACAGGCCCGTTGTGCCTGTTTCTCATGACACCGTGTTTATCCTCTTTCGTCTTCCTTTGATGTGCCTGTGGTGTATCTGCACCATTCTGCAGTTGCTGCAATACTAGTATCTGACCGTGTCTCTACTCAGCGGGAACGTAGTTGAAGTTTGAGTTGTCCCTTTGAGTTCTTATTGTGAACTGGATCTTTGTATTCATATGTCTGTGTGTGTGTCTGTGTGTTTTCTGTGTGCAGTTTGTATCAGCTGGCAAAGAGTGGCAAGCTCTGTGTGCCAGCAATCAATGTCAACGACTCCGTGGTAAAGTCGAAGTTTGACAACCACTACTGCTGCCGTGAGTCTGTGCTGGACGGTATCAAGAGAGCCACGGATACAATGTTTGGAGGCAAACATGTATGTGTTTGTGGCTATGGCGAGGTAAGCTGCTGACAGGCTGAATGAAGGGAAATTTATTTTTCTTATTTGTATTTGTCTACTGGGCTGCCACTGTCACTATCTGTAGGGTGAAACCGTGAAACATCTGATCTTTGGGTTCGTTTTTCATCAGCTGAGTGACTTAATCTTCTGTTGTTCTGCTGTCTTTGCCTTTGTGTAGGTGGGCAAGGGCTGTGCGAGTGCTTTGAAGGGCCTGGGTGCAGTGGTGTGCGTGACTGAGATCGATCCTATCTGTGCTCTCCAAGCCAGGTTAGTACTTTGCTCTACGGTGCGGACCCTGTAGTGAGAGCACGCAGTGTCGATGTTGTCTTTTGAGACTTTGCTCTACGGTGCCGATTCCCAGCATTTTGCTGCTGTTTCTGCTGCTGCTGCGACAGTTGCTGTCGCTGGTATTGCTACTGTCTGTTGTTGGTGATCCTGTTGCTGTTACCAAGAGTACACAACCCCCAAGAGCGTGCAACCACCTGCACAACTTCTATAAAGTGCTGCAACGGCAGAACTTCACATTACGCTGGCAAACAATGCAAAGTGACCACAAGAGAGTTGAACCCAAAGCAGGGTTGCGTACAACCCTGTATCTGTCATGCACGGGTTGCAAATAATGTGTACGGGTTCATCACATGATGTAAAGTGTTAGTTCTGCCACCGCAGACCCCATAGCTGGAGTTTCACACTCTTGGAGGTTATGTGCTCTTGCTGCTACATGTAGCCAGGTGGCTGCTCTTAGACTGGTTTTGGCGTTGCAATATACCCCCTCTGCAGTCATGTACATTCAGTTTTTCTCTGGATTTGATGTTGGCCGAGTTTGTGCATTCATACGTCTTGCTCCGTTCTGTGCTCATCATGTGCTTGTGTTTGGCGTGTTGATCGTGCAGCTTTGATGGGTTCCGTGTGGTACGTCTTGAAGAGGCTGTAAAGTCAATTGACCTTCTCATCACGTGTACCGGTGAGTACAGGCTATATCTCCTGTATTACTACGGACGGTCTTTGGTGGCACGGGGCTCATTGCCAGCGTGTCTCTAGTGAATATTGCAAGTTAGAGCCGTGCATGCTGCTCTTGCTACTTTTCTGTAATACGAGCACTCTGCACATGGCCTTGGGAATGGCATCATATCCTTTGGATAAGCGCCCCATTCTCATGCTGTCCATTGCTCACATGTGCTGTGCATGTATGTGCGTGTTTGTTTCTCCAGGCAACAAACATGTGGTGTCACGTGAGCACATGAACAACTTGAAGAGTGGCTGCATCGTGTGTAACATGGGCCACTCCAATACTGAGATTGACGTGGACAGTATCCGTGACCTGCGCTGGTTGCATGTTCGATCGCAGGTTGACCACGTCATCTGGCCAGATGGCAGGCGGATAGTGCTGTTGGCCGAGGTGAGGGCTTTGATCAGTGCTGCTTCACTCATGGACTGGGTGATGACTCTGGTGATTATGAATGTACTGTACATGTGTCCTGTCCGCATTTCCATTGTCCCCTTCTAGAGCCAGCAACATCAGTTGTGAATCCCGCTTCTTTCAGTGTCAGTGGTGTGTGTATGTGCATGTGTGTGCTACAATGCGGGGACAAGCACCCTGCTGACTCAGCTTTTTGTTTGCTCTGATTTATGAAAATGGTTATTGTTGTTGTTCTTTATTTTGATTTGCACAGTAGACTGGAACTCGACCCAACATAAGGGTGAAACGGGTGTTTGTAACTTTTTACTTGTATGTTCATGTTCATGTTCTGCTATTTGTGTAGGGTCGACTAGTTAATTTATGTTGCTCCAGTATACCATCGTTTGTTGTCTCCATTGCCGCATCAACACAGGTATGGTGGCTTGAGGTGCCCATTAGCATACTCATGCAGCATGTTGTGTAGTTCAGTGTCTGTGCACGCCTACTCTAGTATACCTCTGGGTGATGGTGGGTGAGTGAGTTGGTGAGGTGGTGGTGGTGGTGGTGATTTATTGGTGGGTAAGTTCCTGAGTTGGTGGTGGTGGTGATTGATTGGCGGGTGTGTTGGTGGTGGGTGAGTTGGTGGTGATGGTGGTGGTGGTGGGTCAGTTGGTGGTGGTGGGTCAGGTGGTGGTGGTGGTGGGTGAGTTGGTGGTGATGGTGGTGGGTCAGGTGGTGGTGGTGGTGGTGGGTCAGTTGGTGGTGGTGGTGGTGGTGGTGGTGGTGGGTCAGTTGGTGGGTCAGTTGGTGGTGGTTCCAGGACTAGACTACTGTACATCAACTTATTTTTGCTGGCGATTTAATTTTCGCTGATTTTGTCGCTTGGTACCGACCGCCCAAGGTAAATCACAGGCTAAAGTTTGTCACAGAGGCAAATGATGCATGATTGAGCCGTGGCTGCATGTGAGAGCAACAGCTACTGATCGATTTCTTTTTTGAAAACCCCAATCAGCCAAAAGTGTCATTTCGAGATCAGCCATAGTTTTTCACTGGCCAAGATTTGATTTGATCCTAGGGGGTGGTGGCGTTCCCACAGCGGATGCGGAAAACTCGGCTTCCAGCCGAGTCTCACGCCTTTCTCAGCTGCACTTTACCAGCATTTTTGTATTGACCGTATTGGTAAGATGGTCGAATGCCCTAGTTGTATAACAGCATTTGTGAGCAGAGCTTGAGAATGGCATTTTGTGTTTCTGTTTGGTTTCTTCTCCCTACAGATTCTTGCCCTTATTGAGCTATTCAGAGCCCCAAGTGGACGCTACAAGCATGACGTGTATTTGCTGCCGAAGAAAATGGGTAAGAAAAGTCGGCGTGTTATCAAGAGCCCATAGACAAGATTGATGCAACTGTGGTGATAGGTCAGCGTGTGGCGCACTGTCTTCATTACGTAACTTGCCTGCAGCATGGCTTGTACTCCTGCACTGAATCCACAATCTCTCGTACCAGCACGTCCGGTTCTGCTTGATCATGTTGATGCGCGAGTACAGATGCGAAGTCTTAAGTTAGGATGCATGAACTTCGTTCCGTGCGAAAGCTTATTTCGAACCACGGGAAGAGCGTGGTGTATGATTTTTCCACAGTGTGCGGATGGATGTAACACCGCATGATGTAGTGAGCAGTGTGCCACCACCGATCTGGCACATAGACAGGAGATCACAGTTGCATGCTCTTGTGTTATGGACTTTTGCTATAATGCTTCAAGTGTCCAGTAGATCTCTTGCCATGTTTTAGTGTGGACCTACACACAGCATGTGCGTGTACTCTTTGCATCATACAGTCGTCCCTCTCTAATCCGGCACTTTATAAACCAGCACAATTTTCAGTAGCCAAAATGTCCTCTTCATGCACATTGCAGCAGTAAATCAGATTTGTTAATCCAGCACCCTCCCTAATCCAGCAGATTTTCGTGGCACAAATGGTGCCGGATTATAGAGGGACCACTGTATAACAATAGTTTGTGCTGTCATATTCCATAACATATCACCAGGTGCATTGTGCTACAGATACCCGTTGGTCCCAACATATCCCGATTACGGATAAGAGGGTGTATTTTTCGTGGCATCTGCCGCGTTCGTTGCAGCCAACTGGCGTGCTATGGGCTTTTCTCGCTTCCTCGTGTATGCTTATGTGTGCTTGTGTGTGTGTGTGTGTGTGTGTGTAGATGAGTATGTGGCCAGTTTGCATCTGAGCACGTTTGATGCTCACCTGACTGAGCTGTCAGACGAACAAGCATCCTATCTCAACCTTCCTAAGGCCGGACCGTTCAAGCCTCACTACTACAGGTAATCACTGTGCTTTGGCTCTTCTTTTCCCCTGCTCCTTTTATGTTTACCGTATTTCCCGGAGTATACGCCGCACCCAGATTTTTTTGTCACGAAATACAGACATCTACCCAACCGTTTACCACCGTTCATTTGACCATCGTAGTATAAGCCGCACTGGCTTTTTTTGGGGGGTGAGTCACTGGTGTTGAAAGTGCAACTTATACTCCGGAAAATACGGTTCTTTCTTAGAGTTGGAGACTGATCCTGCACGTCCACTTTGGGACATGGGATTAACAGCAAAAGAAAGATTGGGAAAGGTTTATTGGGGAAACTATTCCCTCCCCCTCCCCCTGTGCATGAGTGATATACTCAACTTTGTTTGTTGTTTTGGTATGTGCCCATACAGGTACTAGATCATGGTGCTGTGATCAGTGGGGAAACTAGCTACCTTGTGCGGCTGCGGGTATTTACGATGGCATGCCTACCTGCGTCTTGACATTGGATGCACACGGTGCCTTCTACTCTCCCGGTTCAGCTCCATGGCTACTGCTACTGCTGCTGGACGTGTCGTGCCAGTATCCCAGTCAGACGCCAGTATGCATGTAGTATGCATGTAGGTGTAGCTCCCCTGTATCCAGTGTTCTCGAGTGTAACGTCCTAGCCAGAGTACACTAGCTACCATGCATATGAGCTACCAAGGCACAGAGGCGATTATCTGCATCTCTCTCTCTCTCTCTTTCTCTCGCTCTCTCTGCTTGCATTGGGACTCAATGCAGCGGTTTCTTGCATCCAGTCTGGCATAATTTATTCTCTACAAGCCTTGGTGTTGGCTTTAGGTCTTCTCCTATTTCTCATTCTGAAATCTTTCTTATATGATGAAAAGTATGGTCTATCACCTCAGAAGTCTTTCTTTATCCCAACTAGTTTCTTTTCTCTCTGGTTGTCCTCGTCTTGTATTATTTTGGGATGCACTGGCCATATTTGTGCGTTGTTTTTTGTCTTTCTGATTTTTAGGTTACAGTTGTTCCCATTTTAATAGATTTTGTGCGTTTTTTTTACAGTCTTGTTTGTTTTATGCTCGTGCTGTTTTATGTTTGCCATTCTTAGAGTCTGTAGTGCTAGGGCAGTGCTTTTTATCACATCACTGTCACTACTCTACAGTTTTCTGCCAGTCTAACAAAAGTGCTTAGGGCTATCTAGCAGTACGGCGTGCCAGTCTTGTTTTCCTGTCGTCCTGCTCTCGAGGTGATGTTGTCTACTTCAGCAATGTCTCGTGACACGCTTCACATCAGTTTGATTATTTATGGTTGGTGCGTTTTGAAATATACACATGTCTTGTTGATACGTGCTGGTTGTGTGTGTGTGTGCGCGCGAGTGTGTGCATTTGTCATGCGTGTGAGTGCGTGCACGTCACCTGATGAGTGTGCTGCTGCATCGTTGTTTGTGGTTCTTGTTGTTGCTGTTGTTCTTGTTCTTGTTGCTGTTGTTCTTGTTCTTTTTGTTGTTAGACAAGTACTATGGCTGTGATTGTTTGGTCAGATCCGGATCCCGGATGCACTGGACACTTCAGAATCAATCGATCATGTTTCTTCGCGCCGCTAACCGTAACCTTGTTGACGTGGAAAAATGGCAATCGAAGAGTTTCCCCAGGGGCCGTGTACTCCTCGTGATCTGATGCAGATGGCGAGGTGCAATGTATGTCCACAGGGCTTCCGCGATTGCACGAGTTACGGAATTTCCTAAGGATTCAGCAGTGTCAAGTAAGATGAACGGACCAATAGGTCACGAGTTACGACTAACAGGTTACGCTTTCCAACGGCCGTAAGAGAGTTGGAAAGCATGTGTCTTTGTGCGTGGCCATGACAATTATGGTGGTTCAGTGTGAGTCTGTGCAAAGCAGACACAGCTGAACGTGGTCGTCACTTCGCAGTGGCCTACCACTGGCTATGCAACTCTGCTGTTGCTGTGTTGTATGGGTGGAGCACAAAGACTCCACCAAGTTAATGGGATATTATACAGTCAGTCCTTTCTTCTTACTTTACTACTATTGGCTCAACATCCGAGTTTTATCCAGTGGTATCTTCAGAATTTTGGAAAATCCCGGGAACCATTGCCGAAAGGACGAGAAACTGCCTTTTCTGCAAATTTGTGATGTGTGGTCCACATGCAAACAAACCTCCCATCATGACTTGCTATGCTGATACTGCTGGAGTAGGTTTGCTGGCTGTGCTAGCATTATGATCTCTGGCAGTGAAGGAAAAAAAGATAGGTAATTCGAAGCAGTGGAAGTGAATGAAAAAGGCAATTTTGTGTTAGCATAACAGTTTGGCAGCAAGGCTCTGGAGAGAAAGTATCCGGCAGGGAGTATCAAATACCGATATTTTACTACTTCCTGGTATCCAGCATTGGTGAAGCTCAGCAAGGACGTTCAATTGCACAAGCCTGCATTTCTAAACACCCATTGGCATTACAAGCAAGAAATTCAAAGAATGACCAGCCAAAAGGCAAGGTAAAACTGTGCTTGCTTATAGCGTGCATCACCGTTCTTGCTCTGCAGTTTTATGCCCAACTTGTTTCCAAATTCACACACATCGTCCTTTGGCTGTGCCTGGGGCCGCTGGGCTCATTCTCTGAATGAGCTGTGCATGGAAAACTGCAGCTGTTACCACTTCATACAGGCATTCAATCTCCAAGGGTACCTTGGCATGGAGCTTGCGTTTGACAATATCTTGTTGCACAAACGGAATGCAAAGAATCCAGGATATTGAATTGGTCTGACTTCACAAACACAACTGTCCTATTCAGTGTCTGGGCTGCTAGCGTTATCTGTCCCATGATACCTTTCGACCAGCATTCCTGTTATGCAGGGACAGGTATGCCTTTCGCGAGCTGAAAATCTTGTTGCCACCGCCCTTGTTGGGTTGCGGGTAAAACTTCTTGAAGTCGCGGCATACTACCACACGTGGCTTGGCCTTTGGTGGCTTGTTATTTGCAGGCTTGCCGTTCACGGGTTTGCCGTTCACAAGCTTTCCTTTAGATGCCGTGAGCTTGCCTTTCGGAGGCTCACGGTTTGCCTTCACTGGTATTGGTTTCGTCAAAGTCGCCCTCAATGCTGAATCCAGCACCATGGTGGAGAATACCAGTGATGCTGTTGAGTCCAACCCTCCTGACAAGGGAGCGTGCCTCTCACGCAAGGAAGGTTTCACGGGGACCGGCTCTTTCTTTTCCGGTGGCTTCGGCGGCTTCGGCTTGGGTGGCTTCCAGACATAGCGCTTTGCCAAGTCCTCTTGATACGCTGAGGTGAAGGCACATAGAAGAAAATAATCACACATGAGGTTGACTTGACCATTACTGATATCTCTCTCTACCTAACAGTCTCTCTGGTGTAAACACGAACAGTGAAATTCGAGTCGTGTTTGCATCAGCGAGACAGCATGGAAGAAGGAAGGAGACAGCGAGAAAGAGGGAAAGAAAGAGAGAGCGAGAGAGACACCCACACACACCTTTTGACCTTTTGACGCCCATCGCCGGAGGCGATGATAGCGATGCTACAGCAGAAGCCATAGCAGCTTGTGCTGGTGCATGGGACACACACACATGCACACACACACACAGGGGAAACAGACAGAGAGATTATGAGTAATGTGCAAATGGTTACACTGGAGTCTACAAACAATTCAAATTTCAAACCGTTTACCCACCATACTATGATATTCTTTGCACAAAGCCAAATTTACCCAACCGCATGCCGCATAACATTCCAAAAATGCAGTTACCTTTCAGTGCTGTTGTCTCCTCGGACTTGTTGACCAGAGCCAGGTGCTCGCAAAGTGCATCAGTTATCTTCACCCACAAGCTATAGGGAGGGTACCGTACAATGAGAACAAGCACACACGCACACAAGTATACACATACACACATAAACACAGTTTAACACACGCACGAAACCATGCAAAATTAATTATACACATACCCTCACACTCTCAACATTTTTGTTGCATGGGACGTTGATTTACTCTGGAAAATCATAATCGCACAGAGATGAACATGCATTCTGCCAAATCTGGTGTGTTATTGGCTTCTCAAAGACAACGAATAGATATGGGAAACATGGATGCCGCGATGCAGCACACATAGGGACGTGGACATGGCTGAGGAAGACGTGCTTTCTAAAAGACACCGCTCGCTCAACTATCACTTACACGACAAAGCCCGTCTCCAGAGTCACCGAGAAGCCCGGCGGGTACTTTGCTGCCAAGCAGTCCAGCCGTCGACGGCACCGCTGCCAGTCCTTCAGCGGCCGGCCGATATACGAGTGGCCTTTGGGTATGACGGAGCGATTGTGTCTGCCAGTCGGCATGGAGATCGACAAGTTGGTCTTGTCTCGCAGAAGCAGGATGTGTTTGACGCAGCACATCTCTCGGACCAGCTTCAGGCAAGTGACGCAGCACGGGCAGCCGGCCTTGAAGCTGGACTGGATGAATATCGGCAGAGTGGTGCACTGCAGATGATCGTCATTGCACGCGCTGCAGAAGTGCAGCTGGTAGAGAGCCATCTGGAGCTGGGCTTGCTCCGACGGCGACATGCGGCACACAAACTCCAGCTGCATGATCCGATTGATGTAGAGATCGGCCGGAGGGGCTGCGATGGGACAGACGGGCCTGAAGCCGTACGATGACCGGTGACGAATTGTCGTCGGCAACCTCTGGTTAACGTCTCGTGTCATCTCCTCAACCTCATCTGGAAATGTCACTTGATTCAGTGCATAACTCAACTCCTCAGGATTGACCGCAGCAGCCTTTTGGCTCTTCGCACGCGGCTGATATATGATTTTCTCTACGCCGGCACTGCCAACACCACTTCGCCTGGGACTGGTGACTCTGACGCGGCGCGGGATTGGTGTGTTGTGCGGGACTCTCAGCGGACCACCCTCCGACAGCTGCGGACTTCCGTCGTGAACCATCGCGGGAGGAAATCCATTGCCGCCTTTCTTCAGTTTCTTGCCTTGGGCCGTTTCCAGAGTGATCTTCTTTGCTGGTCCACTGCCAGTGAACACATTCAATCAAGCCATCAAGACCAGTTAGAACATTTTGAAAGGACATTGCGACCAGGGCTGTGGTGCATCATTGTACTTGATGATATTATGATAACAAGAAAGCATAAAAAACATTTCCCGTTGCATTGCACACGCGTACGTATACCTTTCTATTTTGAAAATCTTACTTTGAGTATATTTTTGGATTTTCAAAATTGAAAGGTATACTTGTATGCAAAGCAACGGGATATGCCTTTCACGTGTACCATAGCAACGGGATATGCCTTTCACGTGTACCATAGCAACGGGATATGCCTTTCACGTGTACCATAGCAACGGGATATGCCTTTCACGTGTACCATAGCACACACAATTACATGAAACTTTGCCGCCGGTCAAGGGTAAATCACAAACTTCTGTCCCACAACGTCACACAACAAGCGTTGCTCCATCCACAGCACTAGGCCTGTACTACCATTTCCCCTGTCACGAAAAACCTGAATACATTGATGTTTGCAAAGAGTCAGCCCCCCCCCCCAAAAAAAACAGTTTTCCGTTTTTATACTGGAGATGTCAGGAGTGACTCAGGACTTACAGGTGCAGGTTTCCGACTTCGCCGACTAGCGTCACGGTGCGCACTGTCGGTGCGCGCATGGCGTAAGCCGTGGCCCCGCGCACCGCCGGCAGTTCAGCCTTCGGTGACCGTGTGTGACGTATACTCCTGCTGCCCGCACCACCGCCACCACCAGCCCTGGCCCTGGCCCTGGACAGTAACGTTGCTGCCACTGTCGCTGCCGAGTGTTCTCGCTGCTGGAACGGTCCGATTGGCCTCTGCACGTACAGGTCGGCCTTGGTCGGCTTCTTCAGGGGACGCTGGTTGCGTGGTGGCGACACCACCTTGCGTGGAGGCCGATTGCGAGACTTTTGTCCTGTAGCGAGACACAGGGGAAAAGCTGTTGAGCTTCGTACCAGAGCCAAATAACAGCACACTCTACTGGTATACGCACAGTGGAAACCATGTTTCACACCAGCCAGAAAACCCACCAAGCCAGCAAGCATAATGATATAATTATGTTGATTTAGTGTAGCTGCAGCGGTTCCTTGTCAATCTAGACGGTTATGGTCACACACATCTTTCTTCTCTTCCTCAGTCTCCTCCGGACTTTTTTTCCATTCTACGCGTATCGGTGCCGGTGGTCACCGGCAACCAGTGTATCCAGCCTGGTAGGGCTCAGGCTGTAATGTCACGCTATAGCCTTGTTCTAAACTCTCAGTGTCAGCAACACACTAGTAGCAATCAACACATGCCATGATGCCACACATCATATCACACACTTTAGTCTAAGTGCACACCGTCTTTAGTTTCGTCACATCATGTCAGGCAACTAATTACTTAGACATCCAGGACCCTGTCTTCTCTCACCATCATCATCACCTCGCATGTGTGAACTCGTGAACTTACTTACTGATGCACCGTACTGGCCTGCAAAGCTAGATCTCACCATCCATGAACTGCAATGTAGGCGCCATGTGCGAACTGATGGTGATGATGAGGGTGAGAGGAGACAGACCATGTCAGTAGACTACGGACTTTACCTGCTCATCTGAGGCTGATGCGACAGGACATTGCTTGCAGCTAGACAGAGCGCGTGATGTTCTGTGTGTTTCGACCGCTATTTTTACAGACTAGAGCTGCATGTAAAAGTCTTCAAGTTCAAGATATTCTATTCCAAGCTCGCTCTGGGCATTCCAAACTCTCTAAACTACAATCTACGCCCCACGTAAAACATTCGATGGAGTAAAGCTAGCTCTGCGAAACTCCGACCAGTACATGTAGCCATTCCAATGCAATCTTTGTAGGGACCAAGGACTTACCAGGCGCCCCCAGTGACGGTGGGGCAGGTGCAGGTATGGTGGTTCTTGGCTTTGCCGTTCGCGGTACTGCCAGTTTACCAGCTAGCATGCGTGCGTGCACAGCAGCAACGGTGGAAGTAAGCAGTCGGGTGCAGATAGCCATCTTCGGGCCAAGCGGACCTCCGCCATCGCTCGACATTATCTTCTTCTGCAGCTCCTGGAGGAACTTGTCGTCAGAATCATTGCCACGAAGCGCCATGATGCAGAAGCCACACAGCTGCTGCCGATCTTGAGACTTTCCGGCCAGGCTATCGCGTTCCACCTACATGTAGTCGACCTGCTAGACTGCCGCCGGGGCAGTCACGAACGGCATTGTTCCACCTGTCCGCTTCCCTCAGGCCCAGGAAGACCACGGACAGGATCTTCCGATGGAAACGGCTCTCGCCTCGTCGACGAAGACGCAGGACCCGGCTTACTAGCCTTTACTTAGCCGCTGCCGTAGTCTGCTGACTGTGTGCCGGCCCTTAGCAGTTAGGCCTTACTGACTGTACATACCTAGTACATACCTGGTACATCGGAGAACATCATCCTCGTTCGTTGAGTGTGCTACTGTGTACATACAAATAATCATTGTACAATCATGCACTTGTATGTGGATCAACCAAGTCTATGATTGTAGCGAACCACAGAGTGTGAGGCCCAAAGTGTAGACCATGGTAGACCATGGTAGACGCAACCACCAATCACTCAGATAGTGTGTACGACACTAGTACTAGTAGTACATCGGCAATGACTACAATGACCGTGTACATG